CCTCAAAGACATCCGTGTGAGTTGTCTTCAGCTTCCTTATAAAAAGACAGGAAGTAGGGCTGTGTACCTTGTTAGCAGTTATGTGTAAACATTTTGCCATGTATTTGCTTTATTGATATGTAAGTAAATATATTTTTCTCTTTGACCCATTTGAAATTTGTGGACATCATAACCCTATTTTCTCATGACTTTGATTTCTTTGCCACGCTCACCTTTTTCCTTCACCATTGAGCAGAAATTTAAGGTTATATTTTTCTTCCTGATGTTTCATTTCTCATTTTGGTTTTCCTGCTGAGAACTCTCACTGACCTGCCTCCCACTTGTGCATCTTCTCTGCCATCTTGGCCCCTTGTCTGCTATTTCTCTTGTGTTTGTGCTCTGGTTTACCTCGGATTCAGAGCCTGTCTGTTCCTGGGGCTCCTGCAGGTACAGTCTGCATTTGTGCAGATGTGGGGGGCCCTTGTCTGCAGGTGGACGCTGACTGTCCTGACTCCCCTTGTCACTTTTTAAAAAACTGAATTCTATTTTTTTAAAAAGATTTATTTATTAATTAGAGAGAGAGAGAGAAGCAGATTCCCTACTGAGCAGGGAGCCCATGTGGGACTCGATCCCAGGACACTGGGATCACGACCTGACCTGAAGGCAGACGCTTAACCGACTGAGCCACCCAGGCGCCCCACTAAACTCTATTTTTTACAACAGTTTTAGATTGACAGAAACATTGTGAAGGTAGTATAGGGAGTTCTCTTATACCCCACACCCAGTTTCTCCTATTATTGACGTTTTAGTGTGGCGTATTTATTACAATGAACGAGCTGATATTGGTGGATTATGGTGGTGGGCAGAACAGACTCAAGCCTGTGAATGTTAGGTTCCGTGGCAAAGGGGAATGAAGGGTGCAGGTGGAGTTGGGTTGCTGATCAGCGGACCTTAATATAGGGAGATGAGCTTGAACTATACAGCGGGGCTCAATGTGATCACAGGGGTCTTTAAAGCTGGAAGAAGAACTCATTGTGGTGGTGTTGGCTCTGAAGATGGAGGAAGGGGCTGGGACCCACATAAGGGGAGCTGGGAAGGAGAAGCAAAGGGATTCTCACCTGGAGCCTCCAGAACGGAACGTACCTGTTGACACCATGATTTTAGCTCAGTGAGATCTGTATCAGACCTCCGACCTACAGGACTGTGAGATAAGAAGTTTGTTTTGTTTCAGGCTCTTGTGTTGCTTGTTACTTGTCAGAGCAGCAGTAGAAAACGAGCACAGTGATGGTTCACCAAAGTCCATGTTTTATTCAGATTTCGCTGGCCTTTTTCTGCTCCAGGGTCCCTCTTAGGATACCGCTTCACCTGCAGTTGTCATCTTGGCTGTGACCATTTCTCAGACTTGTTTTTAATGACTTTGATGGTTCTGAGAGTACTGGCCAGGCATCTCGTCTGTGTCATGCATGAGGCTCCTTTGCTCATGTTTGCTTTGTCTCTTCAGACTGTGTTTTCTGGCCTTCGGCATGCTTTGTAATTGTTTCTGAAAGCCAGACAGGATGTGTGGAGTACTAAGAACTGAAGAAATAGTTCTTTACTGTGAGTTTTATGGGCTTCTGACCAGGACTTGGGCTGTGTTTGTGTGTTGTAGCGACAGGTGCCTGAGGTTCTCAGATTCCTCAGGTGTCCTTGCTTTGGTCTGTCTTTGGGCTTCCTTAAGAACGAACTCCAGGGCGCTGGCTAGCTCAGTCAGTAGAGCATGTGACTTTTTTTTTTTAAGATTTAATTTATTTATTTGGTGGGGGCAGGAGAGAGCACACGTGTGCGTGCCAGGAGGGAGGGGGATAGGGAGAGAATCTTCAGCGGACTCCACGCTGACCATGGACCTTGAGGGGGCGCTCCATCTCATGACCCCGAGATCATGACCTGAGCTGAAACTAGGAGTCTGCACTTAACTGACTGAGCCACCCAGGCGCCCCAGAGCGGAGGACTCTTGATCTCAGAGTCATGAGTTTAATCCCCATGTTGGGCATAGAGCTCATTTAAACCCAAAAAGCCCGAACTCCTCACATGGACTCTGAGTCTTTCAGCTCTTCCAGCTGTCATGCCGGAGTCTGTTGATATGGTGGTAAAGTATGGGGAGAAGAAGCGCCCTGTAAATCTTATCAGAGAGTCTCGGTCTTTCAGTGGGTCTGTGTCCCTGGAATGTGTCCTTGACAATGTTTCTTGGACGCTTCTCTCCCCCACCCCCCACTTAGGTGAGACTGGAAGACTGGAGCAGGTTGGAGTCAGAGAAGCACCCTTCGCCCAGCTGGGGTAAGGTTCTGGAAAAGTCTTTCCCCTGGAGAGCAGGCCTGTGTTATGGAGAATGCTCTGAGGACACCGCACTGTGAGGACTCTTCCCTTGCCCCTGGGCGAGCATGTGGGGGGTTTTCCTGGCTCTTCATAATGAGAACCTGGTGGTAAAAACTGTATGGGTTTGGGGCCCCCTAAGACTGTGGCCATCAGGAGTTTCTGACTTTCCTGCTAGTCCACACTCAGACCCCACCAATTTGTCAAAACCACTGCTGAAGTGTTCCTACCAGTTTATGGCCCCAGCGGCTTCTGCTTCAGGTGAGCAGATCTTGGCTGTGACTTTGGATTGTCCCTTCTCTCCAGATTTCTGGGTTATGATTTTGACCTGTGACCTTAGTTCTCTGATGGGCCCCAGAAAACTACTGATTGTGAGTTTGCTCAGCTTCTCGTTGTTAGGATGGGCGTGAGGACTTCAAATTCTTTACAGGGTGGAGCTGAAGCTAGAAGTCCCTTTTTTACTTCACTGCTGCCCTCCCCACCTTCCCGCCCCTGAAGTTCGGTACCAGGTTGGTTGTGTTGGTATAAAACATCCTGACCATTGCAAAAGCTCCTGGGTTTTGAAGAGAAAAAAAATCATTCTTTCCGGTCAAAAAGACTGCTTCTGTGTTGTGTTGATGCTAAGTTATTTCCCACCCTTCTCACTTCCTTCTTATGTTGCTCAGGTTTGTCTTATTAGCAAACTAGATGCTGATTCTACAACTGATCTCAAATTGGGAAGTGCTAAGTCTGCATGTGGGATGGGTGAGGTTTTTTAGCACCTTTCTAGTGTCCACCCACTTCCCTACCATTCACCCCCTCCAGGCTTTGACAGACAAACATGTTTTATCAATCTTGTACAAATGCATCTTTAACTTTACCCTGCCTCCTCCTCCCCCGCCTGTGCCTTTAATCACAGAGCCCCCTCTAAGCAGCTGTGCTTGTTCTGTGTTAAAGTAGCAGTCCCTTAATCCACCTGACAGCTTTCAGCCCTGCTCAATTATCTGTAAATTGAGAGCAAGGCAGTAAGGGGGCAAAAATTCTGAGCAGTTTAAGGAACAATCGCTATAAAAACTCATGTACCCTTCCTTCTTCCCCTCAAGCCATTAAGTGGGACAGATCAAGGTGATTGTATGGGTGGGGTGGATGGGCAGTTGGAGCCTGAATAGGGTGAAGAGGGCATCTGTCAGAAAGGGGACTTTGGTAGCAACAGGAGGATTGATCAGATAAGTAAATACATTAGGAATAATGGAAGCCAGGTTCCTTGGTGTTGGAGAAGAGAGTTGCAAATGTGGAAAGAAACTGGAACGAACAATATGGTATGGGATCGCCATTGGAGGAGGTACTGGTGTGAACTCAGTTTTTATGTATAAAATCAGTGTAAAAATAAAAATGTTAATGTGTACTTGTATATACATATGTAAACACATATATACCCATACATATATGCGTATACATACATATCTGTCCACTGAAAGGCTCTGGGAGCAAGCACCCCCCAGAGCAGTAAATGTGCCTGGCTCCCAGATCTTGGCTTTTAAATACCATCCTTCACTAAATGAACCAGGACTTCTAGGAGAAGTGGCTGATTCCAGGGCTAGAGCAGGAAAAATGCAGGATGAACTGGGATTATTTGATCATGCCAGAAAGTAGAAGGAATAATGCGGACATGTCCAAAGGACACAGAAGCCAGCTTGAAGGGGCTCCCACTGGCCAAGTCAGAGACCATGTGAACATCAAAATAATCGTAATACTAGATTGGATAAAGTGGGAAAACACGAAACCATACTGATAGCAGTAAAGGAGTTGAACATTTAATGAGGAACGTAGTTTCAAAGTACTTCACAGAATACTTGTTAATTACAAAGGGAAAAAGGAGTTAACTTTACAGTGCAGGAGCTTGGCACTCTTACCAGTAATGGGATGATCTGAAATCATCTGCCACCTGGCGTGTGGGGGCGTGTGTTTCTGTGGATTCATGATGATATTCATTACAACAGAATGATAAACCTTTACTTTGTATGCTTTATGGTCTGTGAAGGACTTCAGTTTATTATTTGCTTCTCACAGTCCCCTTCTGGAGTAGGCAGGGATTATTCATCTGCCTTTGAGATGATGATATAATAATAACGGTACTTCTTACACCCAGGCAATAAATAGTCTAAGACCTTTTGAATGTTGCATACGTTAATTCTCACAATTACCCTATGAGGTGGGTATACTGTGATTATTCCATTTTACAAATGAGACCAAGGCACGGAGAGGTTAAGTAACTTGCCCGATGTCACACAGCTTGAGAACTGGGGAGCTGGGACTTGAGTCAGGCATTCCGACTACAGATCCCCAGCTCTTATGTACGGAGTCATGTTGCCTCTGTAATGGAGACACTGAGGAAAGCAAACAGGTTAGGTGACTTGTCCAGGGCCCCTTGTTCACTTGGTCATTGGATTCTGCAAATCTGTACTTAAGTGCCTGTTAATGTGAGGCCCTGTTCCAGATGTTGGGTGACTGGTACTAGGCAGCCAGAGTCCTGGGGCTCACGGAGCTCAGGCTCTTGAGAGGTGAGTTGAAGACCTGGACCCAAGCCTGCTGCCTTCTGGTGTCGAGTTTAGACACCAGCTGAGCTGTGAGCAGGGAGTGGGCAGCTGGTCAGTCCCCGTGCTCAGAGGTGCGCTTTCTTTTTTCTTTTGAAGGTCGCCTGGTAGGTGCTCTGGATGCAGTGCTGGATTCCAATGCACGGGTCGCTCCATTTCGAATTCTGCTTCAAGTGCCTGGGTCCCAGGTTTATTCTCCCATAGCATGTGGTGAGTTACTGAGTGGATCAGACGTTTACTGGGCCATAGCCACTGGTGAGTTTTGTTCCGGTTGGAATATTCCAAACCTTAAGGTCTAAGCATGCTGAGTATCTGCATGTTGGTGAAGCTTGAAGGTAACTCCTTTTAGAAACTCATCTGCTTTTATGAGCTCTTTTTGTTTGTTTGTTTGTTTTTCAGCCATCGAAAGCACATAAAGGCTACAAGCTTGGGCACCTTAGCTTGGGCATGCCAGGCTTTCGCGTGGTGTGTTATTCCAGGGTGCTCTCTCATTGACTATGAATGGAGCCCTTTTCTCTTTAATTTTGTTTCTGACCTAACGAGTGTCTTCTTGGGTGTGTGCCCCTACGGTAATGGTACAGGGGAAGAGTTTGAGGCTTCTGTCTGGCTCAGGGCAGTCTTCACCCCCTTGCCCCACATTTATGCTGCATCACTAGACTGCTGTGCCCCACGGGAATTTGGAAATCCCCTCATCCTCTTCATCTGGGGTTTCAGTCCTCCTACAGTGATGCTCTCCCTGCCCTGCCAGCATCGCTGGGGCTAGGGATCGTCACATCTGAGGAGCCCCTTCTATTCAAAAACAAGAAGAAGATGTGTCTTTTTAACTACACAAGTCATAAATGTTCACCTTCCAGAAGTTAAGTTGGTAAGTGAGAAGGACAAGGAGATCTTCCATACCCCCTTCTCAGTGCTCATCACTCTTTTGTGTACATGTGCTCATATACATAGAGGCTTCTAGTTTTGTTTTTTCTCTGAACACTTTACTCGCTACCATAAATTTCCAACATCACCGCACATTCTTTAATACTGGATTTTTTTTTTCCTGGAACAATATAGAAAAGTACAGAGAAGAAAATTTTTACCACATCCACCATCATATTCTAAGCATTGCTAACATCTCAATACGTTTTTGTTTCCCCCGGTCTGTTGTGTTTTGTACTAGTTAAGACAAATCCTTCTGTATTTGTATAAAATCATAAAAATGATGCACATTCAATCTAATCCATCAACACTTGACAAGTACGAAGAAGAAAATGTCTGTCACCCCACATCCTAGCCACCCAAAGTAACCTCTGGTCACCCTGGCTTCACCTCATCAAGACCACTTTATACTGCAATTAGGGCAGGGGCAATGATAGTAGACAGAAGTACCTTTGTGAAAATGCAACCCTGCTATTTTGTAATAAAATAGTTACAATGCTAATAATTGACAGTGGTATTTTGTAACAAAAGTATTAAGTTTTACTTGATCTCAGTAAACGAGAAGCTGAAGTAATGAGAAGCAGAGTTCAAAAATAAATGTTTCCTTAACACGAGAGCTTATTTTCTAAAAGGTTCATCGAAGGTTAAGGGAAGAGATTTGTGAAAGCATCACAGGGTTAGGATTGCGGCTTTTTGAAGCAGTGTTGCAATTCTGACCGTGTGCGTTCACTCCCCAGCCTAGAGGACAAGGATGCCAGCATTCTTATTCTTCCCCCCTTCCTCTCCAGTTTCTCATTTAAAAACATGTTATTATTAACTTCATGTCATACTTTTCATTCTGTCCGTCACGATGCTGTCCATCATTCTTTGGTTCTGTCCTCTATTTAGATTGACATAATGCTTCTACTCAGGTATGGCTTTCCTAATACAGAACCTTTAATTTTGGCTCATCTCTCTCTCTCTTTTTTTCTTTTTTTAAGTAGACTCCATGCCCAGCATGGAGCCCAACATGGGGCTTGAACTCATGATCCTGAGATCAAAACCTGAGCTGAGATCAAGAGTTGGATGCCCAACCGACTGAGCCACCCAGGTGCCCCAATTTTGGCTCATCTCTTAATTGCCTAGATTCCTGTTTTCTTCTCCCAGTAATGTCTCACATTTACAGTTGTCTGTCACTTGCTTTTGGACTTGAGTGACACCTTGGCTGGGTATGATAGTCTCTGGCCATCCAGAGCATAGTGGCCATTGCTCCAGGGTCTTCCTGTATTTAACGAGGCAATGGGAGAAATCTCAGGGTGGCCTTTTTTTTCCCCTCCTTTTTACCCCCTGGTGGGTGATGTGCTCTTTGTGCCTATAACCGTCTGTATCTTTGAGGTTAAGTAGTTTAGTAACTTGGTTGTGATCTGTTACTGCCTTGAGCACATTGTGTTAAATTTTTCTGGAATTCAGTGTGTTCTTTCAGTATGCAGATTGATTCCTTTAACCACTTCAGGAAATTTTCTTGTTCTCTATGTGTATTTTTAAAAATGCATCTAGTGTTCCATTTATCAGAATCCCCGCCTCAAGACTCTTTCTGTTGGATAACTGTTGTCTGCTTTTTATTCTTGTTTTTATCTATCTATCTCTTCAACTAGCATCCTGTATGCTGTTCGTAATCCTTTCCTCTGAATGAATAATTCCATTTTCAGCCGTGTATCCCACACTTTGTTGCTTTAACTTACTCATTTGGCTGTGTTTTATTTTATTTAATTAATTAATTAATTTAGAGAGGGAGAGACGCATGAGCCGGGGCGGGGGCAGAAGGAGAGAGAGAATCTCAAGCAGACTCCATGCTGAGCGTGGAGCCTGATGTGGGGCTTGATCCCACAACCCCGAGATCATGACCTGAGCTGAAATCAAGAAATCGGAGGCTCAACTGACTGAGCCACCCAGGCGCCTCTCCTTTGGCTGTGTTTTGATCATTTTCTTGGGTGTCTCCTCTCCCTTTCCTCTGTTGTTTCATCTTCTCATCTTTGCACTCTTGTTTTCCTGAGTTCATGTTCTTGCTGTCTTGAGCATGAAGCATTTGTGAGAATTTCCCTTTCCTCCTCGAGGCTTCCATTTTTCTTCTAGGACACAGTCCCTGTCTTTTGAACACCTTGTGCTCCTCTGTTTATCCTCTTTTGCTGCCAGCTGTTGACTTGGTTGCTATGCTATTCCTCTGCACCCCACTCATGCTTGGACACGGGCCTCTAAGACTGACCCTATGGCATTTGCGTAGGAGGACTTTCAGATTAGTATTTCGGGGACAGAGTGGAGAGGACAGGTGTGCTGCTGGGTGGATGTGGGGTGTGTGAGGCAGCAAGACCCTGTTCCTTTCTCCGGTTTCTCTCTGGTTTCTCTCCTGTCACTCTGCCCCAGGCCAAACAGTGGGTCTTACTCTGGCTTTGGGGCTTTTGATGGGAACATCTGGAGTTTTGTCTCCTCACTAGATTAGTTTCTGGGGAGTCTGCAGAGCGGGGACCCTGCTCAGTTCCTGAATCTGTGTGGCCGGGGAGGTCTACAGTATCCACTCGGTGCTCCTGGAGCACTTTCAGACCACAGTGAGTTTATGGCTGCGCAGCACTCAACCTTATGGCCGTAACCTAATTTACTCATCCAGTCCTTTATTAGATACTTACTTGGTTCTGATTTTTCAGTATTTTAAAAACCTAAATGAACATCCATACACTTAAATATTTCAGGATTCTTCTCAATCCCCAAAGTCCATTCATGTGAAATGTTGGGTGCCTGCCATGTACCAGACACGTGCTTGGTGTCAGGGGTTCCTGGGTGAGTGTGTGAGGGGTAGTCTCCCTCCTCCGGGCTTCGCAGGGCCCCAGGGAATCCAGAGAGCAACCCAGAAGTAGCAGGTAGAGCTGGAACGAGGATTAGGAAAGTAAGAGGCGGCAAGAGCCTTGACCAGCACACAGTAAGGAAGTTCTGCAGCAGGTGGATGTACTTCCTAAGGCCGTCTGTCCATATATTGCCAAACTGCATGCCATAAAGGTTGCAGCAGCTTAAATGTGCTTCTTCCCGCCCC